GAACTTTCACTGAACACCTTACAAGACCAGGAGCAGTCTTATCTTATATGAACAATTATTCCAAAACCCTTCCGTCGCATCAAATCTCCACCTATGGATAAAAACTTGTATGAGTACATCAGCGTAAATGTCGCTCTTCCCTTTTTTCTTACGTTCGACCGTCAAACTCTCTGCTGGCAGAGAATGCTACGAGCATAGAACAGGCCCCAAGACATGACTCGATTTCTTTCAATCCTTGTCTCGTTCGTCATTTCGACTACGACACTTGCGCATGCCACACCAGTTCTTCGTCGTGCACCAACTGAAGCTCCACACATTGAAGGGGTAAACTCGAAGAGTCAAATCTTGGGAACACACGATGCAAGTCTTCCTTCTTTCAGACCGTTCGAATAATTAACGCCATTATTTCCCTGTATCAGCGTCCCTGGATCTTAGGGTTGTATGGCGCAGACGTTGATTACCAGCGAATGTCACTCTTCAGTAGGTGAACTCTATATTGCGTGCTCTTACAAAGCTGAATCCTTCCATTGTATGTGTATCAGAAACAAAATTTTACGGTGTAAAAATCGGCCCGGAAATAACGACCCAGTATCGCGAAGATCGTCGAACGCAGCTTGCCATTGTCAGCAATGAAGAGGGCACTTTAGCAAAAGGCTTTTTGTACGAGGAGGACCGTGACAAATGGGAAGCCACTGCGGAATTAAAAGCTCTCGAAGCTACTTCAAAATCGACTGACGTTGCTGCGGGAACAATTAGCGATTGGCCAGTGCAAGGTGCGAAGCGGTTCGTTATCCTGATGAAGATTGTAGAGGGAGAGGACATCTTCGAATCAAATTGTTATAAGAAGGCCGCAAAGGATCGGGAAAAGCTCGACAATTTGAACCAGCAGCTTTACAACAAATTGCACAATGTGGTTTACCAGTTTGCCAAGGAAAAGCAGATACTGCATGCGTATGTACATCTGCTATGGCCTCAACCTACCAAGTGATTCATTTTCAGTTCTATGTAGCGACTTTCACAGTGGTAATCTTCGCATCACCTTCAGCCAGAATTGCAGGATTAAACGTGTCACTCTCATTGACTGGGGCTATCCTGGTATCTTCATTGTCAAGCGCGGCCTATCTCCGGAGGATTTCGTACGCTGAGGAAGCAAATGGACAATGCCATGTATACTAACTTGTTTGGTACAGGACCCATGGTTTCTTGCACGCTACAAAAATCGCCTGTACAATGAAGCCAATTAGGAACCTATGCGCGTAGAAGTGAGTAAATTTCTCGTCATCATTTTCACAGTAGCTTAACATTAACAGTCTTGCAGGACTCTAGGAAGTACTGTTACTCGTGGAAGGCATGGACCATGTTGTGGTGTCTTATGGTGGAGCGGACATTTCATTAGTGTGGGCCTACGGAACAAACTTCAAATGGGCACGATACTGGGGTATTAAGGTGTAACATCTCTTTCTCGTATGGTCAGTTGATTTTCATGCGGATTACACATGTGGCGAGACTCGGATGTTAGTAGTACATACATCAGCTACTAGGGAATTGTAAGAAATCAAGCAGGATTACAGAAACTAGGAGTAGCGTATTCAGAACGTTTACTACGCAGACTTTTTGGGGCGAAATCGGAGCTCCTTTCGCACCAAACGATTGCTTAGGTCACGAACCCCCCCCTAAGATAAATGCCCTTCCGAGCAGACTTCGAAAGAATTTCTGGGTCTACGAATTTTGCTAAGTTGTGGTTTTTGGAGAAAGTACATGTCCTTTTGTGTAATAGGGTGCAGGGGCTATAGTTCAATTTCACGTAGTTTGTAGGGCGAAGATTGGGCGAAGGGTTTCGGAGGAGTCGACTTTCGGGAGATTTCATACCAAGACTGGTAATCGGAACCGTGTAGAAAAATAGCGGAAGTTGGATGCAGGTTCTTGCCGACACTTGTTTGGGCTACAAGTCGTTACATGACCATGTCATCGTTTAGAGTGGTACATGATTACGTCTTGTATACCTTAGGTATACTTACAGCGCCTTTGTCGAACCCCCACAATTCCCTGTCCCTTGTTGTCCCAGCTCAATTGCAGATGAGCATACAAAGTAACAAAGTAGTAAGCAAGGGCGAATGAAATGCATTCGAGTGAAAAATAGTCCCCGACGTAGATGGCTCACGACATGTTCAGTTCACGGAAGAAAAAGCCGTGGTCTGGCTAAATGTTTCTAACATACAGAATTGCGCAAGATTCTGAACGCAAATCCGATGAATCTCACAAATACTGAGATATGCAAGTGCATATTCCGACAACTCGAACAACACATCCGACCTACATAGTCTGAGGTGGGTGATATCCGACGATCCTCGCTAAGATGGACCTGTAGAAATGAAGTAGGTCCGCCAGTCTCCTTGAGACGTAGAAATGAAGTAAAGCCAGGATGAAAGAGTACATGGGGTACTCAGCATTCATTGGAGGCACACCTGTAAGATCAATGTTCTTCGACACATCGTTCGATCCGAAACCAGAGGGCGGCATGTAGGGGTAGAGCATTTGGTGCGTAGAGGAGTTGACCGGCCAAGACCGACGACAGCGTTGTTGAACAGATTAACTACGTAGTGGAACAATGACATAGTTAGAATGCGAATTAAATCAAAGAAAGATTACGCACCGAGAAACAGATCATGTATAATAGTGAGATAGCGAAACTTGCTGTTTTAGAATGGTCGCATGCGACATACTACGGTCAGGAGGAACGCATTATATATTGACTGTATTATTGAATTGGCTTCAGGTACGAAGAAAGGAAGTGAGAGGATATAAGTGACTCCAAAAGGATGTCAAAGAGGACTAGGGAGAATGGATACCGAGTAGTGCATGGGAGTAGACGGGAGGTATAAAAAAGGACCACAGATTAATCAGTATCGCAACGATGAACTCACCTTGGTTCCGAGCCGTTCTACATTGCCAGATTGAGGGTATCAATCTTCTCGACAGGCCAAGGCCGAGTGCAATCAGGTAGAGTGAGAGTGCTGCTCCGTTTTCGTGCAGATGAAAGATGACACTAATGTTACCGTCGTTTGCCTCCATGCTGTTCACGAATTACACCATCTCATTGTAACTTCCTATATCCGTGTCTGATGTCTGGCCAGTAGTCTTCCCTATCTCGTCCATTTTCCTACATCCCCAGTAAAAATCCTTCCTCCCACCCTCATTGAACGTCTGATGACATCGTTTTTGTTCTCACTTGTCTATAATCCTATGAATTTCGTCTGGATTCACGATTTATTGGCATTTCATCCTTCTTTTCTTACACCATATAATGCTTATGAACGTGCGGGGAACACAAAATGGGTCAGCGAAATAAAAAGTTAGACACGGACAGAAAACAACTTCCCAAAACTAAGAATCCATCTGCGAGAGAGAAAAGCTCGCCATTGTAATATCACTGGGATTGGCATGGTCATTATAGATCGCGGGAAGAAAAACAAAATCGCGAATTCGGATCCTTCACTTGAAGGCCTGATTATCTCAACAGAATTCTGAAAACAGCGGAGTGAAAGTAAAAGTAAAAGTAAAAGGGAGTGTCCCTGCCAGGAGTCGAGCCTGGGTCTCCACGGATGCGCTGCATAGCCACAACGTGATGATCTAACCACTAATCTACGGGGACTTCGCACTATTTTAATTACTATAACAACCTAATTTCGTAACATAAGCTCAAGGGGAAGAGCTGCAGAGCAAGAATAATGCCTATCACGGGTTACTGGATGGTCACCTCGGTGGTCAATATCTTTGTATCTGTTTGATTTGCTTCACGGTAGTTGAGAGTCCAACAAAAAAGGAAGTTAACGTTACAAAAACAGTTCGCAGTAACCCCTATAAGCGTCTTCTGCTTCCGGTAGTACATACCAAGGGTTTGAGCGTACCAACAGCGCTCGATATCGCCTCGAAGATCAGTGCAGTTGAGGAGAAAACCGGCGGGACTGTCCTGTTGCGTCTCGGAGAATAATTGCGAACATAAAATGTGAACAACAGCTCCGTTCAGAGCATTGGGATATAGGCGATGTTCAAGAGGGAAGGTACTGTAGGGTACCGTTTGCCGAAGGAAGTCTTTCTGTGAAGGTGAATGGGAGAACTGCTCAAGGGACTGAGGGACTGAGAAGGTTATATATCCATCCTCAACGACCTGAGTCACAGTATTCAAATCAGCAAAGAGTTCTCGAAAATATTTCAGAGATAAATACTACGTATGGTAACTCACTAACTAGTCTATGATGATGGGGCTTTTCTTTTCCATATTCCACGTCCGAGTTTCAACCTGACATGCTCGTTAGGGTTAGTGGGGAACCTTGAAGTTTGATATGTGAACACAGGAGTACGGAGGATCGGATATCGAAAGGAAGTTCAAATGAGTGAATTAGAAGAAAATCAGATCATCGTAAAAGGACGAACCACAGGAATCGAGTTTCGAGTTTTCCAAAAGGCTCTTAGGAAATGTCTTGTCCTCCTCATCATCTAGCCAAGATGTTCTATTTAGCGCCAGGAGACATATAAGGTGGCACGGTGACTCTAAATTGGAGGACGAAGTGCAGATTTTGTAGTATGATCAGTCCAAGAATTCATTGGACCACATGCGATGATATGCGATGGCTATTGTGAATCCGTAGATCCATCATTAGAAGATATCATAGTGAGAGGGGGAATCAAGAGCAACCCTTCTCGGATTTTCCTGAGTGAATGGAATATCTTGAAGTGGAGTCCGGAAGACGAATATATGGCACGCAAGTCTCGCCCTAATACTGTTCCGGTCTGGGACCACAGGTTCGGGTGGCCCCGTGTATCTATCTGTCCATCTGTTGAAGGGCAACGAATCAGTGTCCGGTGACAAGTTATCTATTGCGAAGGAAACGCACCATTACTTTGCCAATCCTCCCTTGTACACGCACCAGCCAATGCCCTTTAGGATTGTTTTTCGAAAACGAGCTCCTGCTACAAATGAGGCCGCGTTTAGTAAAAATTGGACAAATCCGGATTTGAACCGGAGACCTTTCGCAAGAAGGGAAAGTTCAGCCCGATGCAAAGCGAACGTGATAACCCCTACACCATATGCCCGCATAGCATTGCAATCTTGTTCCATGTGATCTTCAATTGGCAGACTGGATTCAAAAATCGTCATCCAACCGGTGAGTGCCAACGATCAGATGTATAGAAACTACCATGATACAGGTATATTGGGCCCGGGTGCTCCACCAAGGAATCAAAACCCTCCGAACTCGTTATGAGTCTAGTAGTGAATCAATGAATAACTGAAATTTTACAAAGATATCAACACGTATCGTCATGGACCAACGGATTGAAACGGGAAATTGTCTGGAGGTCTGGGTTTTCAACGGTGGAGCGACATACTAAATTGCGAAAGGATAGCTGTACCGCATATACGACTAAATGTGACCATTAGCGACATCAAAACGGCAATTCCAGTGACAATCCTTTCAAGAGATGCAATATAAACAGCAGAGGGCAGGCCAGAAAAGATTGGGAACAAGATCATATAAGGAATAAGGCGAACTTCTAGTGGATTCGTTGTCGGAGTTTTCACGTGCAGATACATAGAGCGGTGTTTTATAATTTTTCCTGTTGGAGTGAAAGTTATAGTCAACGGACCGAGGATTGATAATGAGCGACAGGTATCCGCACCTACTTTGTTACCCAAAACCTCCAAAATGGTTCACCAGTGGGGACTGCCTCATTCTTGAGCAATGCCCTATCACGAGCCCGGATTCCTCAACGGCTTCAACATATATTTCCTGTATTGTCTCCAAAATCCGTTCCTAGTTCGAGATTCTTCCTTTGTTTTGCAGTATAAGCCAAAACCGAAGGACCAGTCAGTCAAGTCTGAAGACATCTGAATAAAACACGAACTTCAATGACCACAATAAGTTTTCCTGCACCGTAAATAAGCAATATGTAGGCTTATAATCAAGGAATGGTATGTGCAGACGAAATTCACGAATGAGCTGGTGAGATTTGTCCAGTTGTACGCGCGCGTACGACGAAGAAGCAGATCGATCAGAATTGATTTCTTTCGGCAAGTCCCTCGGTGCCTGAGGCTGATCCCAGCTTGGTGTATGTTTTCCGAGGTTCTCCGTCTCTCTTCACAAAGCTTCGCAGAAATCGTCGTGTAATCACTATCTGTAGAAAATTGTACCTGAATACACACACCATAGTCGGTGGTTTCTACCCTTCGGCCATTCACAAAGATGGGATCAGGGCTCCAGATTATAACGTGTTTGTGATGCATCTGTTCTGGATAAAAACCCATATGTTTGATTACTTTTTTCTTTCTTTTTGTACATTCATTCCTTTCCATGGCAAGATTCAGCCGTAGAGCCCTCTTACCTTACCTTCTGCATCTTCCTGGACTTTTCTGGCTTTCAGCTGCCGTATACACACCAATACGTGAATATTCTGGGACGGATTTCTTCTCAGAGTGGGACTACTATGGGTTCATCGACAATACGACCTGGGGTGAGTCGTTGTGGTTATCTTTTTGTGGCAGAATACTCATTTTCACTCAGGGAACGTTACATACGTCAACGAAAGCACCGGAACGTCGCAGGGACTGACATATATTGATCCAAACACCGGGCATGCGATAATCAAAGTGGATAATACCACGAACATTGCTGCTGCTCCAACGGTTAACAGGAATTCAGTACGTCAATTATTTTATCACTCCTTCATATCAGTCCTCATTCGGGTTCTTACAGGTTAAAATCACCTCAAAGGACGCCTATCCCATTGGTAGTCTCGTCGTAATTGACGTCTCGCACATTCCGTATGGTTGCTCAGTAAGTTCTCACCTACCGTTCTATCACTCCTTCTAAGAATTCCCAGGTCTGGCCTTCGTTCTGGATGCTTGGCACCGACCTTCTCTGGCCCCTCGCCGGTGAAATTGACATCATCGAGGCTATAAACAACCTCGGTTCTAACCAATACGCCCTCCATACTACTCCCGGATGTTACTTGGCGGCAAACTCAGTCCAAACTGGGAATACCATCGAAACGGATTGCTCGACGGGTCAAGGATGCTTGGTACAAGAAACAAAACCAAACAGCTTTGGAAGCGGGTTCGCACAAGCGGGTGGAGGTGTTTTCGCTACGCAGCTAGACGTTAGTGGGATATATATGTGGTTTTGGCCGGTGAGCATCATACCCTTCTTCTACAATACTCCAAATTGAACTAATCAGCATCAACGTTCGCCAACGATCCTCAGCGCTCGAGTCTTCCTGCATCGATATCACAAGCTGACAGCGCATCGACCATGAACCTGACGGATTGGGGCACGCCTACCGTGTCGTATCCCGCTAGCGCGTGTAATATCACGCAGTATTTCCAGCCCCAACAGCTCGTGCTCGATATAACTCTTTGTGGCGTATGGTGGGTTCTTTGTATTTTTATCTCTTTTCCAGATCATCTGTTGACGACAGTTTGTGTTGACGATCACAGGGCAGGCGTGCCATCTATCTACAACTCGACAGGATGTTCAGGTCAATGTGTGAGTCTTCTATACGGTATCCTCTTTTGTCCGCTCTTGCAATTGCCCCGGCACTTCTGTCTGTTCTTCCTCGTGTCCCGGTTCCTTTCGTATTTCGAATTCATACATCCTCCAATTACCGATGTCCCTTCTTTTCACACTATATGTCCAGATTGACAACGTCATCGGAACCGGAAACCCAATCTACAACCAGGCGTATTGGGATATCACCTACATCCGAACGTATCTCGCTACTACAACTACCACTGATACCGCCGGGAATTCTACAATATCACCTTTTTCATCGTCATTATCATCTGTTTCCACATCGACTTCGACGTTCTCGCCGAGCGGAAGTAGCACCGCTGGGTCCGGTACAAATACTGTTAGTGCTAATTCAGCAGCGGCGGTCTTCGCCTTTACTGGTCGCTTGTCGTGGATACCTTGGTCAAGTGTTTCGATTTTGCTGCGGTTTGGTGCTTGGATTCTTTGTTTATGATCCTCATCTTGGTATATGTCCTCACGTTTATGTCACGACGAACATTGTTTGGTACGCTCAAACTATAATGTATATATATCTTATGAATGGAGGTCATTATTGAATGAAAAAGACAACGGCTCGATGCAGACGTTCCCGGCGAATGCTGATTACCTTATTCAAGCTTTAGGTTGAGGTCTTTCGCCTTCCCAAGATACTGCTAATCCTTTCCTTCGAGCAGGTACTTTGGGCTCGCCTTCATTCTCTTTCTGAACCTTGCGTACATCTTTGCAATGCTGCGGGTATATGCTTACACATCAATATCAATATTCCGTTACACTTTTGTTGTACTGAGCTCAACAGGCTGTGGGTTGGCCGTGGGCTTGAACTCTATGATGGCGATTCGTGGGCCTACGGAGAACATTTCTTTCTCAAGCCCTTTTCGCTCATCCGGGATTAAGCTCAACCGACTTTTCGGAATATGTCTTCATGCTGACGCGGAATGACATTAGTTCGGTGTTCCACATACACATCATCGCCTCCTCGAGCTCAAAACTCAAGCCGTTTTGTGATTTTGTGAGGTTATGGAGATGAATCTTCGACGTATTTTTCGGAACGGTACACGATAATTTGGATACTTCCAGGCTTTCACAAAGACAATGACAGTTTCTACGGAACAAAAAGACAGTACGAAATAGAGGAGGGTCAAAAACTAAGCACCAGACAACCGCTTGCCCAAAGACCATACACGTTGTCCAGCCCTCAAGATGCTTGCTGGAGGCGTTACGTTCTTTGGTAGTTGATCGGGTACATTGTCTTATTCTCTCGGCCTATGTTGAAAGAGGTTTCGAAGGCAATAGCAAAATCTTCGATGTAAGTGCGAAGTTTAGATTGTCTAGAGTAAAAAAGGAAACGATGAAACGTACAATATCGACGCGGCCCACAACATTCTTATCAATCTTTCTTCTTCAGGTACAGTTCAGTTTCGAAGACTTTGAACTTGGGCGCAGGTAGATTGATAGCTTGCGCACGCATACCAATCATCGGTAAAGGAGTATAACCCTTGTAACTGGAGATTTGGCTGGAGATTCGGTTGAAGACATCGCTAAATCGGTATTTCTCGAGTTCATGCTCACGTCCCGCTTGGAAGAATTTCGTCACATCGATAATTCTCAACTTGTGGGTCTCATCGACGGTGACACACTGGTTGGGGTAAAACAGACCCCAATCGTTAACGTTTTTGGCTATAGCAGTCAGTCAGCAATTACAGAACTCAAATTCAAATTTTCTGGAAGCTTACTGCAAGGCTCCGAGCCAACAATGACATGGCGCCCTAAGAGTTGAATAAGATATTATAGATACCTTGGTCGGTGGGGCCGATATTATTTTCCTGTATGAGTTGGCTGATTGAATTAATTTTGACGTCAGAATCGCGAATATTGTTTTCAGCCTTCCGATACTTCCTATTCAGCTTGTTGCCAGCGGTGAGCGAAAGGTAAAGGCTGGGAGGAAAACCGTTCTTCGAGTCCCTCCATCGACACGCAAGCATCTGGTTTCCGCTGTCCGCTATAATCATTTCCAGCACGGTCCTTTCCAGGTTCGAAGGCCCTAACTTTGCGTTAATGCTGAATCCAGCGGATATCGTCAATGGTTCTGATAAGAGCACACAGCAGTGCGTCAGTCGAATCGGCTTCAAAGGGAATTTGCAAGTCGCTGGCCAGGAACTGTCGGCGCTGAAACCAGATTCCTGCCTTGACGAGATCGAGGTGAGCGAAGTAAAGGGTTGCCAGATGTTCGGTGTCAGTGTTGCCTCGTATATTGAACACATAGTTGGAGTTCGGGACGGACGAGGGTAACACGAGGGTTTGTACTAGCATTTTTAATTCGGAAATTCTGCTTATAACGTCGGATCGCTCTCGACCAGGATTATTTTAGCTCGAGTCATTGAAGCACAAAAACAGGCATACGAAGAGAGGAAAGTCAGCAACCTTCCCGTTATGCATGAACTTGTATTTCCCGAAGATGAATGGATGGTTGTTCACTTCCACAGAGGGAGGAAAACTGGCATTTCTCATATGCGCCAAGATGCACTTGGA